TAAGTTCGTAAAAAATAAGGTTATTATCTCGAAAATTCTTTATCTGGAACATTTTGCTCTTCCGGTAAGATTCGAGATATTGAACTCCGTTTAATTCACCTTTTCCCTTGAGGAAACTTGTCACACGCTTTTTTTACATTTATGCTTCCATATGAAACATGAAAATAGTGAATTATATACATATTGTGAAACATTATTGTAGACGATGTAAAATATAATTCTACATGTGAATTATGAAACCTTAATCTTTCAAGCCAAAGTGAAAGTTAGGTTAAAAAGATGCAATTGTGACCAATTTATGTCAGAAAAAGCAAATTATGAGAAATTTTCTCGTTGTTCACTGCCTGCCTTCACATTGTGATCGGTAGAAATCGGCGTATTCCAAGTTTGAGTCTCGGTCAGGTTCTATAAGTGAACCACTTATAGAACCTGACCGAGACTGCTTAGAATTCTTTTGAAGCCTCGAAACTCTAAAAGTCAACAGTGTGATCATCAGGATTTGAGTTACGGACCATCTAATTGCCAGCTAGATATGCCAGTTACATGATAAATACACACAATGAGGAAGGAGGAAATTCCTTATAAAATGAATATCGAGTAAAGCATGTCTTGTTTACATAGCAAAAAAAGGAAAAACAAGATTTCATACTGGAAACGTAGGATAACTAGTACTAGGATAAACGTAGGATAAACGTAGGATTTACTGGAAAACGAAATTTTTTATAAAAACTATCGAAAAACAAGATTTACAATAATCTCATTATTAAGGATACAAATGCACGGAGACCAGAAATTTGCTCTGAAATTTAAGCAGTCATCTCTGAAAGTGACTAGTATTTCTGAGAACATAATCAAATAATAATTGTGAGCCTCACAGATTTTTGTGAACGTAGCCGTATTGAACAGCTTCACAGAAGACCAAATATACCTGGAACCATACAAATTCATCTTCAAAAACGCTTCACTATATTCTACTGTCTTCTTTTTTTAACCATTGCTTGGCTTCAAATTCAAGTCTGCATTTGACAATTATTCATAGAAATCTTATTGGTTCAAATGAAGAAATGGAAACATTGCGGCATAAAACAACGATAATCTGATAGGATGATGATGATCTGATAGAAAGGGGGAGCAGAAATCCTTTACTCCTGCTTCCAACTTTTGAAGGAAATCATTTCGGTATTTGCTGCATAGGAAGGAAGAAAACATTTGATGTCATTTTCAAGTTTAAAAATCACTTTTGAATTGAGGTTATCGGAGAAATAAATTATCGATTTTGCATAGCAAGGAGATAAAATCGATACATCGCTGGAAGGTACGACAAATAATTTGCTGTTTGAGAATTCTTTCGTGCTAGATCTAGGCTTTTATCTTCACCGAAATGAAGTAGAATGAATCGGTATTGGTAAATAAGATATTTTCGTGCCTGTTACTGCATTAACTGTCGTTTGTTTGTATGTCAGCAACATGACTTTTAGCAAATTTTAGGACTTTTATTCTATAGGAATTTCAGACCCTGTACAAAGGGCTAATGCAGCAAATTCTTATTCCGAGGTATTGATTGAGTTTCAAAATAAATTAGCGATATTTCTGAATGATGCACACAAAATAGAATTACCTTGGAAATAGATATTGCTAGTTGAACCAGTAAGAAGGAGTCGACACCAGATAGAAAATTTTGTTTTACCTTTTTATCTATGTAATCAATTTTCTTTGCATGGAAAAACCTTCTTTTAGAAGAACACTTGAAAAACGATAATGGCCAAAAATAATAAGTGTATAAACTGCAACCAGAGAAGTAAAAAGAAGAAGTATATTGAAAATGTTTGACTCCTCTTCTTGAAGTAAAAGAAAATGCCCTTGAATTGGTTTTACGAAAGGAGAGAACTTTGATAGAAATTGTTCTGGCATTATGATAGATTAAAGATAAGGGTCAGCAACCTACGGACTGTGTGTTAAGCGTAGCCTGTGGAACCCTAATTGAATTGAAATACAATGACTATGATACCGTAAAAAATTTGAATTTTATTTCAACCGATGCATACTGTGGGGTTAGCATTATAACTGGAAGCCGCAGACCCTATTAAACAAATACAGCTCACAAAACACAGAAGACTTAAATAACATTGTTATTTTATCTTAATATAATAGAACAGGCATAGCTTCTGCTTAAAGGCGAAAAACTTCCACACTCGTGGATCTCTAAATTAGCACAAGAGACAGTTCAAATTAGACGCTGATAGCGTAGTCTAAGATTATACATTAAATGTTCTAAAAATAAGCTGGTTCAAATATTTTACGAACGCGTGTTTAAAGCATCGGTTAACGAGAATGCTAAAGACGACATACAGTTTTTAAGCAGAGCTGGCAAAAATGCTAAGAACAAAACGCGATTACCAGGAGCTCTCATCTAAAGATTAAAAAGCTCTCAGCTTAAATACAGACAAAGCTAATTTGCATTCTGATAAGGAATACACTGAGGAGAAGTTATAGCAAAGACTTAAATCATAATAACTTAATTAACATATGATACTTTACAATATAATAAAAACTAGAATATTCGAATCCATGAGTTATAGAATACGAAAAGCTTGAAAAGAATTCAAGATTGAGAAATTCCCAAATCTTCGAGCAACCCTTTTATATTCTTTTAACAAATGAAGATTAGACTTCCAGATTTGACAAGTGTTATTGTCTATTCAGATTTCTCAGCTGCCTTACAGGTCAGTCAATAAAAGTAAACCAGCTTCATACCTGAAATTTCGAGAAAGTCAATTATTACTCAAAGACAAAAATGAATCGTTCTATGATAAATTCCACCTCATTGTGGTATGCCTGGTTGGCGGCTGATAATTTGGCAAAGACAGACACCAAAAGAACTTAGTATACGCACAGTATACCGCAGCTGGCTGAAGAAATAAAGCGTTTTATTCCAAATAAGAGTAAAGATTAGAACTTGTTTTAATTTTAAAAAGATTAGAATACAGTCGTATACGAAATTTAAGATTATAAAAAGATGCTTTTTTTCTACACGGCCTCATCAGTGGCTGTGTGGCTATGACCTGTGAATGCTGGTAGTTTGTCCCCAGTCACTAGTGTGATGTTTTGCACTTCTGTCATTCTATTGTTTCATTTATTTCATGATTATATATTTTAAATATCATCTCTGGAACTACCTCTCAAATTCATAACTGCATCAAGATAAAAGTCTCCACTCTTCTTTCCTTTTCTATTCTTTGGAACATTCACTTTATCGAACTCCAGATTCCTGGATTTTAGACAAATCTTTATTGAACAATGATGGTCCAATTGGGACATAAGGAACAGATAGAATGTCCTTATTTGTAGCTTGTGCTGGGCCCAAACACAAGCAAACAGCATAGTTGCAGGGATGTTTTTTAGTGTTTCTTCCCATGTGTAACGAAAGTACGAACCAGTTTTCTTAGAAAGTCCTCCATGAAGGCTTCAGTTCCCTATGCAGGTAGTGCTTGTGAACTGCTATGCCATATTACAATAAACTTTCGAGTTTCTTTGGATTATGTTCCAAGTCAGAGAGATCCATTTTGTCAAGCATTCAAAACATTTTCGCTCTAGCTGACTTGTTGACGCTTTAACTTTCGCTTTCAAAAATGCTGTGACATGATTTAATTGAAATTCTCTCGGGTATTTCTTTGTTAAAATAGCTAATCCGATTTGTTATTAAAATTGCAAATTTAATTTCCCAATAACTGTATGTCCGTACAAATTTCAAATGTCACAGGTGGTCCTTTTATCACGAAACTACATTTTAAGTATGATTTATGATCTTAATAGGATATATCACAAATGGCTGAGTGAAGCTTCGTTATACGCTGTTTTTGCACGACTTCAAAAAAACTTTTTTAAAAAATCTAAAAACGTTTAGATTTTAATTAGTAGCTCAGAAAGGCTTGTTAAGATTTTTTTGCGCTCTTCCTGAGAGCGCAATCTACCAGTCTGCTATTACACGCACTGTAAAATTTTTTTTCTTTTTTCCGTCTTTTTTGCTTTATCATTAATTATCGTTTCCTTCGCACTAACGCCATACGCAGTTTAACAAAAAATAACAAAATTTTTAATAGCTACATGTCAGCATATATTTCGAATTCCCAGTGTACAGTGTTATATGTTGGCATACGTTTTTATATTTTTTCAGTCTTTTCTCAGTTTATCATATCAATATTCAATTTTTTTAGTAAAAATGGCTAACAAAAAATTTTTTTGTCTTTTTACTACTAACTTTTTAAGGTTAACTTTATTTATTAAATATCACGTTCTTCGCAGTTACGCCACAAAAAAAATTCAATAACAGCAGAAGATAAAATATTTGAGGACAGCATATCTTTAGAATTTCCGATAGTCAGTCTCGCTCACTGGAGATAAAAATGATTTAATGCGTGCAGTGTTGCCACTGCTCGCTTTCAAATTGTTGAATTTATTAATAAAAATTCCTTAAATTTTTACAAAATATTAAATAAGTACTAGAAAATATGTAACGTCATTCTATGAAAATATTGAATATTTTAAATTAGATAGATCTTGAATTAAATGCTCTTTTATTATTTAAATCGAACCGGTTCAAAGATAAGAAACAAATATTCTTAAGAACTGCATCTATTGCTCTCAAATAGCTTGGTTTATTAATCCACAATAAACAGATTCATTTTGAAGGATAAATTTTGCCGAATGGCAACTGGCTCAAATGAAAAGTGAAATTATGCATTTTTAGCGATTCGACACAAAATCCCATTTCAAATCTAAGAGCCCTTCTGAGTTAACAAATATTTCCTTCTCTTTTTATGTATGTCATTGTGATTTGACACGAGCGGAATAAGCCAATTTCTATGAATTTTTTCCTCACTAAATTCTAAGAAAAACAGCTTTTTATTTGCTGCATATTAGTACATGCACACACGAATAGATTGCGTAGCAGTAAAGATTCCATCATCCTTAATACGACAGAATTTTTCAACGTCATTGCAATGGCACACATAGCTGGTACAGAAGAATTCAATAATCTAACGTTTGAAGATATTGATGAATTAAAAGACGTCAAAGCCATAAGCGAAGATGAATTATTAGACACTGTCCTTGAGACTTCTAATCTTACAGAACGTAGTGATAATGAAGCAAATAATACAGTTATAAATGTGATTTAATAAAAGAAGGTTTTGAACTTGCCAGAAAATTGGGCAATCATTTTTTCGAACATGACCGTAATGAGGAAAGCGTTGGAAAGTTTTAATGTGTCTTGAAGTTGTTGATAGCCTTTAACAAAGACCAAAACAGGAACACTGTAATTTCATAACTGAATTCGTTCGTAAACCCGGTGAAACATCAGCACCAGAGGAGACTCGTGCTCATTTTGCTCAAGAGGTCACAGAGAGAGAATTTCATTAATAGAGGAAGAAGAGGATATGACAGCAGTGATATTTCCAGTCGTACGCAAATGTATGCGCTGCTTACTGCCAGAATATCAAAATGAATAAAATCTTTTTATGCGTAAAACGCACTTTTCGGGCATGGTCTCGTGAATTTTTTTTATTTAAATGTTAGTTTAATGCATTTTCCTTATGTATTATTACGTATGTATTTAACTGTTCAACAGTGATAGTGGTTGGTGACTCTAACTGTGGTACCGAAGGGCGTGGAGAAGGCATGGATGTTTGTAAATGTATAGTGTCTGTGCGACATGGAGGCACTCAAACTATTCGGCAAGTTTAAAGTCTTTTTGGGGGTTATTGCTAGTGGAAGAGGGGTGGAAGATCCTTGAAGCCGTCCTCCCCCCCCCGAATGCTCTCCTTCAAAATTGGAGAAGTAACTGAGCAAAGTCGTACTATCACCTGTATGGTGTCCAATGCTCTTGCAAACGACTGCCCCAATCTTGCTTCCTTGCCACGATGAATTTCGTGGGCTTGATCTGGTATCAGACAAGCGAATTTAGTCACAAAAACACAACAACATGTGTATTTTATTGAAATAAAGTAAAAGGCTTGTAGAGACCATGAAAGTTTTCAAAACAGGAAATGTGAAAGTTCTACACTGCAGTAACCTAGCCGAGACTCTTTATCTCCGGGTCTTCCGATGCTAGATGGGGGAACTTTCTAACTGCATTACGAAGGCACGCAGTAAATAAAATCAAAAACTTTGCAAGCATAAAACGAAAATTTCCATGTTTTTCATAATTATTTTTGCTGGATTTTTATATTCGGAATCAATCTGTATTTTTTTCATAGCTACAATGTCCTTTTTCACATGTTCTTCAGGAACGAATCTACCGAATAAAAACTGAATTAGATGTAGAATGGCAAAGAAAATTTACGTTACAAGGAATAGACGATAATTGGAAATTCACGCTTTTATTCACGTATGCAAAGATCTACACTTAACTTTTATATTTTCGCAATATTAAACAAAAGATTCTTTGTAACCATTCGACGTAACCAAGCAAAAACGAGTTGCGCATTTAAAATTCTTGATTGCTCCTATATTATAAACAATAGGGATTAAATTAGTAAATTCCAAATTGCGTTTGAAGATTACAATATTGCATTTAAGCACCTTGGACTAAAAGACAACCATACATGTGATTCGGCGAATATACTGCAAAACTTGGAATGAAACTCGATATGACAGTGCCCAGACTAGCTGAATGAATGAGATAAATCAGTCAACTTCTCATTCACATTCGTGACATGGCTTTGGAACCCTACATTTATCTTATTTAATACATCCTATGGTTGATTTGATGCCTACTGCATGATTTTGATTAGTAAAATGAATCTTCACGGTTACTTGACATACCAGGACATTTTATGGCGTTTATATGCTTACTGATACTATTAATAGATTTCGAAAATAAAAGGAGTTATGTTACATAATTTTAAAATGTCAGAGGAATGGTTTCGATGGTATATAATTGCAATTATCAAATTTTTTCAATATAATCATTACCTTCTCTTCACATATCGTTGCACTGAACAAGTATTCCGCGTGAATAGGTAGCTTAGGTCAACTTGTAAAATTTTGTGTAAGTCATAGAAAAGGGGTTTTCTTCAAGTAAAACATTCAGTTTTTAGTTTTGTTATATTAATCTATAAGGTATTTCTCCCGCCTTCTTGGTGTGGTGGTCTGCACGCTAGGGGCGTATTCCAGAGGTCCATGGTTCGATTCCCATCGAAGGCGCTGCTAATTTTTCATCTCTTCTGCTTCCAAAAATTACCTAATGTCTCTACAGATCTTTAAAATAAAATTTCCAGAATGAGTTTTGTTCGTTTACCACATTTTGTCAAAATCTTTTTTCGGTTTATTCTAATTATCAATGAGTAGTAACTTGCCACCATATTTTGAACATATATAGTCCTCCACCCAGACATGTATACTTTGAAACCCAAATTTTGAATTCCGAACTCCTTTTTTTTTATTTATTTCGTGTTTTGTTCGAATTTTATGAATTTCTTATTAACAAACTCTGCGATTTAAAAGCATTATGCCGCTACTCGGCAAAGCATAAGACATTTGTATTTTAAATTTAATCAGAAAAATTCTGTGATTTAAAAGAAACATGCTGACATTGCCCGAAATAAAGTATTTTTACTTTTCACTGGTTAAACCCAGTGTGTTGCCATTCGACGGAGCATATTTTCTATCTTGTGTTTCAAAATTTGATTTGACTGTTATTGGTTTACAGACTATGCCATTTAAAAGCAATAAACGCAGTTCTTTACTTTCATTATTATAAAATAACTGGAGCCGTAAAATTACACTACCTGGAACAAAATCCGTTTTATGCGGCTAGCTGTGCAAGTGGCTATATATGAAAAATATTCACTTCCTTTTTTTTTTTTTTTTTTTTTTTTTTTTTTTTACTGATTGCTTTTTGTTACCTTTCGTTTTCTATCCGAGGCGGACATTTCATAACGAAGATTTATTATATGTTGCATTAATAATAGCAACATAAAGTATAAATTAACAGCATTTCAAACGCTTATTAAGAGCTAATTATAAACTTTCGAAACCACTAATGACTGCTAATTAACTTCATTATTAAAATTTATTTTTCATACTAACTCGTGGAATAACATTAATTGACAATTAATGATAAAGTACGTAGGACATTTGTAGTTAGGAACAGGGAATCGTACTATGGATAGTATAATATCCAGAGACAAAACACTCTGCATATCTTCGTAACAGATTCGTCATAGCAGATTGTACTATGACTTTCCTTGGTCACATGAATCCTTTCCATTCAGTAACGATCCCACAAGCAGCTGAATGTTGATAGTTCAATCAAGTATACATATCCTGGAGAGTGGGCTTTGAGTAGCAGTTTTCATAGCTTCTTCTATGTGTAACGTTTTATAGCTTCCATGTTTTGTAACTTCCCCGTGCGTAACGTGGATACAAGCCAGTTTTCCTTGGAAAGTCCTCCACCAAAGCATCCCTGCCCTTAGGCAAGAGCCCTCGAGTTGCTTCGCCTTAATCAATTAAATCTAACCTAATTACTAACTTAGCTATTCTTAACCCGTCCACAGTTTGAACATGCGGATGATAATTTTACGCACACATACTAGTTCAGGTAGCGAAATACTGTAGAGCGAATCCAGATGCCTTGGGTAATTCTTCGACCTATATGCCATAGAATAACTAGGACATGGCATAGAAAAAAATAAGTCCAGTAGAACCTTCGAACTACATCCTAAAAAGAATGGGAAAACATCCAGACAGCTTTTCTGAATATTCTTATTGCTTATCTAATAGATCCCAAGAGTATATTTGAGTTCGAGATGACCATATTTCTTATTAATGCTGCGATATCTGTCGCCATTTGAGATAATACATTTTCTGAAAACATCGTATGGAACAAACATCTTTGTTAAATTGCTTGGATCTTTTTTTTTTTTGAGTTAAAGAATATTACATATGTACTTTTTGTGCACTATATATTGTTTCTTTTTTTGTAGAAATTCTCTCCATTAATTACATCGCAAAATATTGCTGTTCTCGAGCCCTTATCTGATAACTGCGTTCTCTAGTTTGTAATAATTGGGAAAATATAAAAGCTCATATGGTAATAAAAAAGAAAAATAGTAGCTACCTATTTTCCTTAGGGAGGAATTTAGATTAGCAATCAGAATGTGCTGCTAAAGAAGAGAAACAGTGTCATTGCCCAAAATCCCTAACTCATGTCAATGTTACTTTTAAAGAAGAAAGTCCTGTTATTGTTCTTGAGGATATATTGTTGGTATATATTTTTTACAAATACTAGTAATTGAGTTAAAAGCTTTCTAGCTGCCTAGTATTTTAAATAATAAAGCTAAAGCCAGGAGCAAAACCTGTGCTAAACTATTAACTATACATAGTCGTCCAGAATTACGAAGAGAAAACTACATGATTTAGTGTGTCTGGACACCATAGACCTATTGCCCATTTATTTCAAACAAATATTAATGGTTAACAGAGCTATGATATCCAATCAGATGAGAAATATTATATTTTTATTCCAGTACTTAAATTTATTGCCAAATAAAGAGATGCGTTTGACAACCATTGAAACATAAGTTGGCTTGAATTACTGTGAGAACTAGTTTCAAAAGGAGATCATGATCTAATCGATTAGACGAGTGCTAACTGAAGAACCTTATTTCAAAAAAAAATTTTCCATTGTTCACCAAGTCACCTAGAACAGGAAATCATCTGGAAACATAAAAAAAGGCATATATCCAAAAGAAAATCAATCGACTCATCGATACTTATCAGACTTAAGTGAAGATTTTTTTTGGCTATCGTCCCATTTTGAGAAAATAACTATAAATTTCATTTTTCTGTGTGTGTGTGTGAATTTCTAAGTAGCACACGAAAGTTAATTTTAAAGATAAATAAATTATACACTTGCGTGAAAGTTATTTTTCATACATGTGTTATTCGTTTGTCATCTGCAGAATTATTTCCACAAAGGAATATATTGGAATGAAAAATCTACCAGATAACAATTTTATGAGGAATTTTTTAAGCTTTAAGGAGAATATACTAGTTTCTATTTATTAATTGGTAATAAAAAAATCTTTAGAATATATAAAAGCCTTTATTTTCTCCACATTTTATATTGCATGCTTCCAAGAATACGAAAAAATTAATATTTTCAACG